TGCAAAATAAGGGCGTATCTTGCATGGCAACCACTTGTTTTATTAATAAAGGGAAGAACTTCCCAATAAACCACTCCATGTGCCATGGGCCGCAAACAGACAGTTTTGACTTCTCCCAGGTCTTATATGCGATATTACTATTTAAAGATACATTATGGGGGATAAGATAAATAGCTGCCAGTTCTCACTAGATAATGTAAAGAGAATTTGCTGAAAATTTCAGTCAAATTGATCCACTCTGAACCGAGATTTTAGCGATTGAATTTTCGGCCTAGCCTCGTTCATCATTACTTAAGTCGGTACGATGAAAACATAGTTTCGATTATCCATTTTATGATTAAATTATGAATGGCAGTTCAACAGCAAATCGGAACCTAATCCAAAAAAACATCGCAGGCTAGTGATGACATCGAGAGTTGATTATTGTCTGGATAATTTAATTAATGTCTAATTGGTAATTTAGATAACACTTCAGGCCTAAAGAAAGACCTACAATAGGCAGATTTAGCTCTTGCATAATGTATGTTTAAGCGACCCGCCTATAGGCATCAAATAACCGTTTTTTGTTTTCCGTCACACAGTTGTTGGGTATGAAAGATGCAGTGCCAAATTTCAAGTTTGCGTCCTCAACTTAGCCAATGAAATAAAAGCATGCTAGTCTCGGAATTAAATCTTAAACTGCATTCTGTGAGAATATGCTTTATCAATGTATCATTATTTCATTTTTGATCGAAAAATTGTCACATGGATTATCATCGCAGATCTGTTTGGTGACCGTATTATATGATAGTCGGTACACACTATCATCTCCTAGAGGTGTTGGATGGCCGAATGGTTAGCGCGTGTGCGCTGCGTCATTGGATCAACTGGCGTGGTGTCGATTCCCCGGTTGTACGTGACAAGGAGTAGGGTCGCCTGTCCAACCTCGTGGGTTTTCTCTGGGGCCCTCCGCCCCCCCCCCACTTCTAAGACCCCTACACGCAAACAAATTATTGAAATAAAATTGTTGAACCATATGTTAGTCCCGAAATGACCTAGTTTATGTCGAGTGGACGTTTAACTCTCTCTCTCTCTCTCTCTCTCTCTCTTTCTCTCATCTCGGTAACAGGCTCACCAACATTTGAAATCCAAAACCACCTTGAGAAAAGGTTTACCAGTGTATATAGAGTAAAAAGTTCCCCTTCAGATAACTCTCTGCCTCAAGTGTTTTAAAACACACAAATCTTTTATAAAGAACAGCTATCTTAGAGTTGATAATTGGCTCCAGAACACATTGTACAACTGATCCCACCAGATTACATTATCCTTTGTCGTAGTAATTCAAATACAGGTTTCGTATCTCATTCTCCAATTGATAAAACTCGGCTATTGCTAGCCTAGGGTTTAACATCCGCTTAAACAAAAAGTCGATATCGCACACAGCATATATAAGCCACATATCATCTTTTATGGGATTAAAGGTCGTTCATTATAACCCAATAACGCCACCTCCTCCAAACAGAAGTGTTAATGGCATTACCATCAATAAGAATTGCTGGTCTTTTAATTAAGTCACAAAAGAAATGGAGTATTTTTATTTCAAAGAGGCGTTCTGTTGTGTTTTTTAATCGCAACACCTGTGGAGTTTTTTATATAAATCTAATAATTTCCCTGTGCAAATTTAAAGTTGAAGTCTTTTCCTCTACCTTCATACATTCTTAAAATGTTAATTCCTGTTAATAGGATCAGAGAATTAAACCGATTTAAGTCGTTGATCGCTACTAATTCCTCAGACGCCCAAAACAGAACGGATTAGCAAATTCTAGTCACGATTAAAATCCAGTTTGTGTGATACAAGTACCTATCGATTTTGTTTCTTAAGTATAATTAGGCTACACTAATCCATAGAAAATCATTCTGTTGGTTTTAATTTTTATTCCTTTACTAAGTAGTGTGTGGTGGAACGATTTCATGAACTGTTTTTTTTTTAAAGATTTATAGAAATGGAAATAAATACGAAAACATGTTTATTTTTTCCAACTTGTTCTTCCCCCACAAACAGTTTATATAATTATTGTTTTTTTGGTTTTTTAATATGCTTGATTCATTTGATTCATAAATAAAGATAAATAACATGACGATTATCAACAATTATCATCCGTCACCATCGTCGTCATCATCATATAATACACCCGGGGGGGGGGGTGGCGGAATGGTTAGCGTGTACGCGTTGTATCATAAGGTCCGCCATTGCGTAAACCGGCGTGGTTTCGATTCCCCGGTTGTATGTGATACGGAGTGGGGTTGCCTGTCCAACCTCATGGTTCTTCTCCGGGTCCCCCGCTTTCCCCCACTGCCAAACAAATTATTGAAATAAAATTGAACCATATGTTATTCCCGAAATGACCTGGTTTGTGTCGAGTGGACGTTAAACCCCATTTCTCTTTATATTCCACCCGAAACGTTGTTCCATTTGGGCAAATGCGTCTAATATGTGATATAAATAATTTATTGTGCTTGACTCTCCGAATAAAGTTTTAAAACATCATTATCAACACCCATCTTCACCATCGTCGTCGTAATCATTAACATCATAAATTACTTTCATCATCATCGTTCCGGTTTGTAGATGAATCTTATAAATGCGACAGAAATTGAATATCAAAATCAAAAAGTATTTTCTAAAATCAAAAATGTATCTTAAGTAAAGATACTAGCGTGAATTTATTGACTATTTTGATTAATCGTCCAGCGACATAGCAGGCCAATCAAAACAATCGTTTATAATTGCTACCTTACCTGAGACAATGATTAATTTACTCACAGTGTTTCCACTATATTTTTCGATAAAATCGTTGTTGAGGGATTTTGAAGCTCTATATTCGTGACTTTGTATAAACATTAGACTTTAGATATGTGAAACCCATTAATCCATACAATATTGATTTGCTTGTTAGGTTATTATCTGACTTTTTGATACCTAGCTGGTATTTTATTTAAAGCCAAAGCGGTATTATTGTTGACGATGAGTTCATCCTGATTTTCCGACGTGGTTCCCCCTTGTCAGTGGTGCAGGAAAGAGGGCCTGGCAAGGATAGCTGTCTAGTCCTTCGGATGAGACGAAAAACCGAGGTCCTGTGTATACATTGGAATGCACGTAAAAGATCCCTTGGCAGTTGGAATTCGATATAAGAGTAGGCGATAGTGCCGCTGCCCGGGCAAAATTTCCCTCATAGCACACTGTATGGCGTATGCCCGTCTTAATTAGCCCAGTATAGGAGCAGAACAGTAGGACGTTAAACCCCATTTCATTTCATTGTATCGGTCACCGGTGTCATTGGGCATAAACTGCAACAGGGTTTAAAATCCTACTTCCCTCGCCAAATGAGTAGGAAGTCGGTTCGCTAAACTGAAGATTCCCTGTTCCATCTATCCCTGCATTGGCCGAGAAAGTTCATCTGTATTTTCTGGCATGGTTCCCCCTTGTCACTCAGTGGTGTAGGACAGTGGAACTGGCAAGAAAAACGTCTACTCGTTAGAATAAAACACAGCAAGGATTCTTTTACGTGCACACCGACCGGGGCCTCGTCACCACTGTTAGGGAAAAGGCCACGCCGTTAAATCACAAGGAAATTTTCTAACGATGTATGGACACAGCAAGTAAAAATGCACACCACATATTGTAAATTATGTGAACATATGTTTTCACAATTCCACCTGCGTGACATTCCTTTGAGTTTATTTTACACACTGTTATAATATCTTAAATATCAAAACAAACCGCCACACATTTTATTAAAGTATTAGTTGGTCTTTTGTCCAACTCGTGTAAAAAGGTGGGTTTTTTTCTGATATCGGAGCCAAAATGCTTTCATAATATTTAGAAAATGAATTGGGTTTTAAAGTCTTACTTTTCTGAAACCAACTAGGATAAAGAAGGTCGTCATATGCTATGCAATGTGTCCGTTTAGCGATCTTTCCGCCTACTCCTCGTCGAGAATTCCAACTGTCCAGGGTGTACACTGGTGGACCGCGCTTTTTCGTTCTATACCAACGACTGAATGCGTTCCATCGCAGGCTCCCTAGCTACACCGCTGGCTGACAACTGGAATCCTCGATTGGTCGAACACCAAAAATTGTTATTTATGATGCGCATGCATTACGCATGTTTTCAAACTCTATTTCTAATTAGTAAGTGCAGGGGGACTGCACCACACACCAACAATTACACAAAAACAAATCTACGGACAAGACACAATACGCAGAAATCACAAAACAGACGTACGTATCAGATTAAGTGAATGGATCCGGGGGCTAGCCGTAAGCGTCCATTGCGCTGTACAGTCCCGGGCCTGTAGTGATACAGACTTCACTCAAAATTGAAAGACAAACAATGAGGAATACAACCCAGAGAAAAACATTGTATAATAGTAGTAGGAGTCATGATCTGTTATACGCCACATGAAATATGAATGTAAGCATATTGAAGTAAAAAAAAATACCTATTTCTAAAGTAATCCAGAAGTTCTTTCTTTCTTTCTACTCAGTGAGTGGCGCGACATTAGGGATCAAATTGAAATAACAATCGTCAATACTTATATATTCCAATCTAGTGTACCTAGAATCTCAGTTATATCGTTATTATTCTCATCCTTCTAAAATAAACCCTATATATAAAAGTCATTTTTTAAATATATATATTCGGCAAAATCGGTATGGGGGATATTCCAGGAAAAATAGAGAAATTCGGGCACTCAGACCCGCGTCAACCGAACAGTCGAGTACTCCTATGTTCACAGCACAATATCAAAAATATACTTCCCTACAAATTATACAAACAAAATCAATAACAAATTTCGCTTAAGAGTTTTGTTCATTGGTTAGTTACGGATTAACTTTGTGAGATTTTATCCATGTTAGAAAAATATAATTTAATTAAATCGACATTTACATGGGCTTTATGTTTTGCGTGTTCAGTTAGATATAAAACAATTGTGATTAAAGAAATACAAATCTAGGTTTTCATACGCCACGCGCTACGACTGTCAAATAGAGTCATAATTTACAACCAATGACAGACAGGCCTCGTGATAATGCGCGACAAAAACCGAAAGTCGGATTGATCCATTGTTAATCATGGGCGTTCCATTTCCCTAAAATGGCATGTCAGTCGGAACTAAGAGTTGTTTATAAGGGTGGAAACCTATCCCTGAGTTAACTATCAAAGCTTTAAGTCGTGATACAAACAACTATAGCAATAATATCAACTAGATTTTATAGGATCTAACTATTCTAACTATCACACCATGTCGAACAAGGTAAGTCTTATTACTTTACTAATATTCAGTTCATTCTTGTGGACTTGGTTATATTTTGGAAGTTAGCGGACATTATTAGTTCCTCCCTTCTCCTGGTGTTTCCATAGAATTTTATGAAATATTATTTGTCATGTTTAGTAAAATTGAATTCTTATTTGCAAGTTTGGTTTGGCGGGGTTTTTTTTTTGGTTTTTTTTTTTGTTTTTTAGGGGTTTTTTTGCTAAAAGTTATTTCTGTTGAAACATTCATTATGAATATCGGGAGTCCCGGTGGCTCAGTAAGTAAGGTGCTCGCTCACTTGCCAGGGTATCCGAAGTTTTTCAGTCTAGTTTCCTCTTGTCAGTGGTGCTGGACGGACGAAACCCCGTTTATGCCATCTGATTCCCGTGGTAGCTGGAAATCGAAACAGGAGTTGGTCGCAGCGGCACAGTACATGGCTTCTTCCCGTCTTAATTAGATTATTTCTAAGTTTGGTCATTGGATTTGACTAGAATGAAAAAAAAAATAGGGCTCGCACCGTGGCCATTTACAGGTGTCGCTCTTGGATATTCCTCCATTATTTTAGTTTTAAGACGGGGGATCGTTATTTGCCTTTGACGGTGTTATATTTTCTAGTCAGGGAACCGTTGATCGTTTTGTCAGAAACAGCTTGAGAGTTGTGTGATTTTGTTATGTTTTTCCAGTCAAGAAATACGTGATGTTAGAAGCACATGATGTTTGTATATTAGCTTAAAGTTTAGTGAGCTTAAACTCACTAAACATATAAACAGCTGATTGCTGTTTACCTCAGTGGGTATTTGGGACACGGTATGGCTGAGTTGTCTATCGCGCACACTTCAATAGATGATAACGTTTGTCATTGAGTATAGTGTAGTGGGTATGGCCATGAGTGGGATAACCTGTGTAACGGCGTGAGTTCCACTGGGTTCTCCAGTTTCCATGCTACTTCAGAAGACTCAAACGGTCTAATGTGTGCGCTTTAGGCTATAAGACGTGTTAATGAGTCAAATATAGTGGGTACGACAGAGAGCAGGGTAGCCTGTACAACCTCGTGGGTTTTCGCCGGTTTCTTCTGCCCCGCCCTTCCCCCCCCCCCCACACACACATAAACACTTCTGAAGACCGCAGATCGCAAGCGATATGTTTCCGCCGACATAACATAGTTTGTAATGTTTAGGCGCATGTCTCTCACGTAAACGTACATAATCTAGACTTTGTTTATCATCGTACCAACGGTAGAAATGACTATCGACGCTAGCCTAAAGTTGAATCGCTAATACCTCGGTTCACTTCAGAGTGAAACAATTTAACTGAAATGTTCAGCATATTTTGTTTTCATTATCTATTTTAACTATTATAGCGAGAACTGTCAGCATTTGTCTAATCTTACCTAATTTGCCTTTAATGTATGTTACCAGGTGACACGGAATCGAAACCACTACTCAATTGAAGAGTAAAATGGCACTGCGCATTCCGTTTGACGTTGCAATGACAAATGTGAGCGTGAATCACACAAGGATGATTTTACATGTCGACGCAATAGTTGTGTCACCACTCGACTTTCGAAACAAGTTTCCCCCTGTCTTACTCATTCGGTCAACACTAATCAAATCTTACAACATTGCTACGCGCTTGACTTGTTTTAAAGTGAACACTACGCAATAAACGACAACCAGGAAAAAAATTGTTACAATTTCGATATTAGTTTTTTCAAAAGAGCAGACAAATTCATTCATAAAAGAAGAAGTTATGTATATTTATGACTAATGAAAGGTAGGATGTGGTAAATTTCCGCTTGAAAACGTTAAGTTATGTTATTAGACGATTATTTACTTTAAGGAAGTAAAACCAGTCTAGCAGCCTTGAATTTAACGTCCTACTTTTCTGCATCATTACAGACGGGTATACGCCATACAGTATGCTGTTGGGGACATTTGGCACGGAAAGCAATTGGATTTCAACTGTCAGGGGGTTCTTTAACGTGCACGCCAACGTGTGGAAGGCTATAAAAATAAATACTGATTACCATTCAACTAATTAAGATTAATTGGTGTTAATTACTGTCAGTACCCAGTAGTGAAAGTGGCTGACGATTCAGTTAAGTAGGTCGTTTATAATAGTCTATTACATTACAGCTAGCGTAATTAGAATGGTTCAACTCGCTTACTGGAGGCCGTTGACTCACCTGCATAGCCATAAATATGTCATTTAATTTCTGTAATAAACATTAAAGAACAGGAAATAAACACTTTAAGATGAATACAAAACCAAAAATATCTGGTATGCGTGTTGCTAATCGCATAAGATGAGGTTTAATGGGCTAGTGCACACTCGGGGGATCTTTAACGTGCCAGGTATATTACATATTGTACAAATCATGCTGTATCTGTAATCTTGTAATCTTACGAAACTGTTATATTTCATTTAAATAATAATTGGGTTTTTATTTTTAATAATTGGTTAATAAATGTACGTAAACCCTACGTGTCTAATCGGAATACAGATCGGTAGGAAGTGCGAATCTGATAAATTTCATATTGTTCAATATATTCAAAGTTTTGTTTAACATCACTGTTATGTAATCGTTAACAAACTGGGCTGCCATTTGTATACACGCAACCACGCTTTAACGGACCATCCGAACGACTTGACTGTTTTCTTTAACGGTAAGGACATCTTGATACCTGTATTATTAGTTAGTTAGTTAATTATAGTTTTGTTTTTTATCTGGTCTCAAGAACATTAGGATTAATATTATTAGTTAGTCAATTATAGTTTCGGTTTTTTTTTTGTCTGGCCTCAAGAACATTAGGGTTAATATTTGTCTTCGATAAGGATGAAAAGGGCTTTACATTTAGTCTATGCTATATGATGAAAGATATTGTCTATTTCTGGCTATTATCTATGTCAATACAGGTTTAACCCATTGGAATATGTTAGTAATATTTAGATTAATTACGGGCTTATATCGCTATCATTAAGCTAAGAGTATTCAGTGCAAGTCAACATATAAAACCCACAAACCGCCAGCCAGTGTTACGTATATAGCAACCATATTCTAGTTTAGGTCCACTCCGGTCAAATCGATATAAGTATATTTTGTCTTCTTCAACGACATAATAACGGGAATGGAAATAATAATCCCGCAATAAAATTATTTGGTTAAATGTATTGCATGTGCAACGCAGGCTTATACTTGACATGGCTCCGGGTCAACCGGCCTTCTACCACTGATTTAGACTCTCTCTCTCTCTCTCTCTCTCTCTCCACAGCAAGATTGAAACGTCTGGAATATACAAGACAAAACTCCAGTGTAGTGATAGTATTAATAAATACAGAATAAAGTATTACTACTATAATCTATTACAAGGTGAATGCTATTACGATGATTGTTCGTACAACCCGGGGGTGTCATTTCTACCATATTGTAATTGTATCTTTTAGGAAGAAAAACGTTTGAATGAATGATTAAAGATCTTAATCGGATTTTTTGATCGGATATTTCAATTATTCATGTTTAAGTGGCCCGTGGTGTCTAGAATTATATCAAGGGTCTTAACACAGTAATTTAATACTAGAGATCGGTTTGATGGGGTGGGAGTGGGATAACAACGTGGGTCTAGAATCGTATCACGGTCTTACATCTTTTTCAATGAACATCATATGAGTAGAAGTGGGTTTGGGATGGGGGGGGCGGCGCAATGAGGGTAAATAGTAGAACTGTATGATATTTTTAAAGAAAGGCAATGCGGGTGAAAAGATGGGTAATTTGTTGATTTGCTGTCTCTTGCCCACGCTAACTATATCTCATTCTACTTCTGCCCAAGATTGTGAATGACGCTGTAAGATCAGCGGATAAAAACGTAATGAAAGATAGATTATTTTTTATTGTATAATCTTTATAAATCTCATTTAATGAATTACACATCACGACCATAGTTAATCGTATTAATCAATTCGTAAATTACAGTGGTTATCGACTTACGTATTCCATGTCACGGTTCTGGCTTGACGTCATCAAAGACACATGATTGGTCACTATTGCTTTGAATGCAGGGACGATAACGTTGTAACCTAATCCCATTGTTTTGCGTGTTTAAGATTATTATATTTATTCAACTAAGAAACCGTATATCAGGCTCAAAATAAAGATGTGTTGGATTTTTTTCTCGGAACAAACCATATGTTAGTCTCAAATAACCTTAGACCCTATGTTAGTCTCAAGTCTCAAAATAAGCATATGTTAGTCCCAAATCTCAAAATAACCATATGTTAGTCCCAAGTCTCAAAATAACCATATGTTAGTCCCAAAACTCAAAATAACCGAAGCCTTTTGTTGACGAGTGGCGTTAAACCCCGTTTCATTCAGATGATTTATTCTTAAAAGAATAATTTGCCATTCAATTTTTTTTAAGATGGGATTAAATCGGAACATCTATTTAAAATCCCCATTATAATAAATGGATTATAATTATTAGGAATTATATTTAACATCAGAAACATTAGAATTATAACTTCCATAACTCACGATTCTATAACAAGTATCAAACAAGTTTGCTTAAGCACATGTCTACGCATGCTTTTGGGAACAAGTCCGAATGGCGCTTATTTGAACTGAAGGATTGAGCACACTTAAGCACATGTTTTAGCATGCTTTTGGAAATAGTTGTAAGTGGCCCGTGCTTGATTGCGAACAGGGTAAAGCGGCGCGTATTTAAAGGGTTGCACATGCTTAAGCTCATGTTTACGCATGCTTGATGAAAATCAGATTTACATCTGGGCGTTCGACGAATAGTAAGCATACTGTACTATATATCTTACACGATACCTGTCATAATTGTACGAATTATATCAATTAAGAAAATCTAAAAGTATTCCTAATTTAGCACGTTTTGTACCTTTATACCTTGGGTCGTTCCTTGAAAGCAAGATAATTAAATAACATTATGTTTAAACATGAATCGAAGTGGCCATTCCCTTTAAACAACAATATAAAACAACAACATGAAGCAGCAGCATGTTATATAAGATAAGACACGCTCTTGTAAAACACGCAGTAGTTACAATCAGCTACCGATCCTTTTGTGGTGTAACCAATGTTCTCTTTTATCTGGACTGCCGCCGTGGCTCTGTGAACGTAAAAGATGAATCGGATAAATGTAGCGAGTAAGCGTTATGATCTCAAATATAACAGCGTATTTCTGTCGAAATTTTAAGACCCGTATTATCGGGGGTTTTTTGTCCCCATCGGAAGGACTAGACACTGGTGCTTGTCAGTCATCCGCCCTGCACCACTGAAAAGGGAAGTCCCCTTAGTAATGATAATTTATATATATATATATATTGTATAGACAAACCAAATATTTTAATTTTGTGTTTTTTTGTATTTTCAGATGATGAAGTTTGTATTCCAAGCATTATTGGCTGTCATTGTGATAGTGTGTTTTGTTGAGGGTGCCCCGCGTGCTGTTAATAAGATACACGGTGAATGCAACAAAAGCGACACCATATCCCGAATATGCTACGCCTGTGCTCGGTTATATAACAATATAAATTATTACAATCAATGCTGCCTTGACATCATGCCTTTTCGTTCATTCTGCACGCGCATCTACGTTCAACCAAAACGAGGCAGTTACTATTGAAGAGCTAACGGACTGACCAACGGCTTATGGATCTGATTTTTCGAATTTGGTTTTTCAGCTAAAAACAAGACACCCCTTGGACACCATGAACTTTGAACTGTGCTTTTTAAAGGTTGTGTTAAAACGGGTTTATGAATATATATGTGATATCTATTCATTATTACAGTAACCATGGTGATGCTATAATACCATTCCAACAAAGGACAGATAGATGATAACAACGTTACGTCAGATAACGCAATGGAAGTTCAGACTTCCGTTCATGACGTACATTCCGGAGCGGGTTTTCCGACCAGTAGTCTGCCTTGAGTCTGATTGGGTTTGCATGAATGACGTGGCAATTGGTGATGGTGTTGATTATATTTTAAAAGGGGGCCGTGTTTCGATGTACTTTTGTTTTCGTTTTACTCATACCTATAATAAACTCAATTCATCAGCTCCCTCTGGTGTCAAGCATACGCACTGCCCGTCTGTTAACTTAATGTGTATATTAGAAAGACTTGACAATTATTCTGTGTTAGTGATAGACTAGATCAACCAAAGATGTCTTCTAGATTTTGTTTATGGTTTACTACTGGAAGAAGACAGACTTTATGAAAAAGAAACTGTGGTGAAGGAGGGAGGCGTTTATAAGGGCAGAGCAAAACTAGGGCGTATGTATAAAGGGAGGGAAAGCTCTCTTATTATTGAACTCCTAGCAAGGGACAGCGTTGTGGCTTGTTATTTTGATTTTTAACGTTTTAAAATAGTGCAATTATTTGAAATCCGTGAAATCATTGTTGTTAATATGATGGTGACGATGATGATGATGAAGATGATGATGATGATTCATCATGTTATTATTTCGAGCTGTTATTTATTTGTAAATATAAATGATTAATTTATTCTTTATTTGAGAGATATATTTATTGGAATAAATAGATTAAATACTACTACCTACATTTATTATTACTATTATTAATGGTGGCCATATGATCTAACGTTTGAGCTTTAGATCATAAGGTCTGTCATTGAGTCAAGTAGCGTGGTTTCGATCAGGGGTTAAGTAGCATTTACGCGCTTTGTGTCATGGCAAAAATCACGCTATTTCAATGCGGTTTTCAACATTATAATCCTAACGCTTTATCAGCGTCAAACATATACCGTAGGTCATATATGCTACAAATTGACTCTAGCATGTTCCACACAGTCCAATATTACTCGACGGCACTGGAGGGGAAGCACACACATATAAATAATGTTTTGGGGGACCCGGACGAGATCTTGTACATCATGCAAAATCATGGGTCACCACGCCCAAGGTTTCGATATCACAGTTGTACGTAACAAGAGTGGGGTCGATTGTCCTTACATTGATAAAGACCTCGACTTGCGAACGAATTATTGAAATGAAATGAAATGGGGTTTAACGTCCTACTGTTCTGCTCCTAACCTGGGCTAATGAAGACGGGCATACGCCATACAGTGTGCTATGAGGGAATTTTTGCCTGGGCAGCGGCGCTACGGCCTACTCTTATATCGAATTCCATCTGTCAAGAGATCTTTTACGTGCACGCCAATGTGTACACGGGATCTCGGTTTTTCGTCCCATCCGAACGACTAGAGAGCTGTCCTTGTCAGTGTACATAACAAGAGTGGGGTCTACTGTCCTCACATTGATAAAGACCTTGACTTGCGAACGAATTATTGACACACATAAAATGATAATGAGAGAGAACTGATTTGAAATGGGATTTAAATTCTAATTTGGGCATAGACTAAGCAGTGTGCCATGAGGGAAATTTGCCTGGCCTAGACACTTTTTAATGGATCTTTTACGTGTACGGCAATGGGTACACTGGACCTCAGTTTCTAATACGATCCAAAGGACTACACGATGTTCCTGAACAGACCCTGTATCCTGCAGCAGCCTACCTTTTGCGCATGCAAGGCAATTCCGTTACGTGGGAGGGAAGCGGAGGACCCAGAGCAAACCCACGAGGTTGGACAGGCGACTCTACTCCTTGTCATTTATAGGCGGATAATCGAAACTACGCCAGTTGAGTCAATGACAGATCTTCTGATCCAAAGCGCACGCATTAGCCATTTGGCAACCCAACCACCCCTGGACCAACAGAATGATTAACCAAATACTACCCAATATCACCCAGTACTAACTCAACAGTTACTAAATACTAACAAATACCACCACATTATTGTGAAAAACTGGCAAACTGATTTAATTTCGGGAATAACATAATTATGGTGTATTTTCATTTCAATTATTCGCATGCGCGTAGAGAGAGGAAATCATAATTACATCCCACTTCTACCTGGTTGCCAGTGGCAACCTTTGATAAAACTGTCCTGTTTATTTCCAATACAGACATAAAAGTATCCGTGTATCAGAAATGAACAGTACGCTTTCCATAAAAAAAACCGAACACTTTTATACAAGCAGGATGAAAACAAACGCCTAGAAAGTCATAAATTTTAATACAAATAAATTTCAACGGACGAACCATCCACCGATGCACACTTCACCAGGATTGACCCACGTTGTGCAGTGTCCTTTACGTGTAGGATAAAGCACGAGACTGAGGTTATGCTGGGGAAAGAAAGACTGAAGAAAATAACCCAAGAGAAAGAAAAACCGAGGCCGGTAGGCCGAGGGTTTTCTGTCGAGGGTTTTTTTCTGAAGCCTTTCTTCCCCGGCATAACCGAAGTCGAGGACTTTATGTTGCTTATAAACCGTCTATGTTTACATGTACGCAAGATGAGAATATCCCAGAATTCCCACAAGAAAAACCTTATATCATGTTTTCTTATGGGAAAAAAACTCTACCCTGGTAGAATAACCCGTTACAGGTTTAAAGAAAAACTTTCAGAAGAATAACCCCAAATCTCCCTGTATATATCCAAAACCTCCCCCGACTTTCAGACCGCAAGTTATTCCGGGCATAGAATATACCCCAAGAGATTTACCGTTACAGGTTTATAAATTACGTTTAATATAATTGCAGCTTTTTGTCCTCTACGCCAGGGACAAGTTGTTTTAACGATGTGGTTGGCTCTATGTTCACTGACTTCGTCAAAACAACTTCGTCTTTCAATACGGAGTGCAGTCTAAAGAAAAAAAGTGACTGTTCTACGCTCAGGGTAACGCAGCAAGACGCACGTGTAAATACTACTCATGTCGTTTCTTCCCTGCCAAATCATTCTACCACGAAATGTAACGTGAGGCACAGAAAGGGATGAATGAAACAGCAGAAAGTATTTGTCACATTTCGCTTGACACGGCTCGATAATAAATACTATTTTTCACATTTCGCTTCACAGTACTCGATAGAAATGTGATGTAAGTGACTTATTCGCGCATTTCCTCGATCTTCACCGATACACCTCGGAAAGTGTGCTAATAACTACTACATAAAACCCCATTGAAAGCCGGTACATTTTTTTTCTGATCCTTTTACTGAAAGATATCAAATAATAAATTGAGTCCAATCCTACAATGAAGAAAAGATCTGGTATTGTAATCAGCAGTCGAGATGAACAGAACACCCCACACAGACTAGGCCATTTCGGGATAATTCGCTTGCGGGTAGGAGTCTTCTGTTGTAGGCTCAACCCCAGGAACCGGAGGAAACCGACGAGGTTGGGCAGACGACCCTACTCATTGTCCCGTACAAGCGAGAAATCGAAACCACGTCACTTCATTTAATGACAGACCTAGTACGACAAGGAACTTGTACACAGGGACCCCGGATTACCGTTCCAACAGAACGACTAGACGCTGGTACTTGTCAGGCCTTCCGTCCTGCACTGCTGGTGCTTTTCAGGTCCTCCATCCTGCACCACTAGCGCTTGTCAAGCCCCCCGTCCTACACCACTAGTGCGTGCCAGGCCCTCCGCCCTGTTTCTCGAAATCTTAACTAAAGATAAAATCCAAAGTTTACTAGATACTTCAATTGTGATTGGCTTAGCACTAAAACCAATCTAATATTATCCAATCAAATAACTAAAATTTGAATTTTATCTTAGTTAAAATATGGTGGACAATTTTTTCACAGGGGGGGGGCGAAACTTTTTGCAGGCCTGCGCCCTCCCTAGTTACGAGCCTGCCTCCGCCCTGCAACACTCACAAGGGGGAACCCCACTGGAAGTAATAATATGTGAATTCGGACTAAAATGAAAAGAGCTAAATCTGCCAATTGCATGCATTTCTTTAGGCCTGAAATGTTATCTAAATTATTAATTAGACATTAATTAGCTTATCCAGGCCATAATCAACTCTCGATGGCATCGCTTGCCTGCGATATTTACTGGATTAGAACCCGGTCTGCTGCTTCTGATTAATTCAAAAAATGGATAATCGAAACTATGTTTTTTATCGTATCGACTTTAGTAATGATGACCGAGGCCAGGCCCAAAATTAAATCGATAAATACTCGGTTCAGCGTGGATCAATTTGACTGAAATTTTCAGCAAATTCCCTTTACATTATCTAGTTTTTAACTATTATAGTGAGAGCTACCAGCTCTTTATCTAATCTCCCATAATGTATCTTTAAAGCGATAATTTCATATTTTCTAAGAAAGTCAAAACATAATTATTTCTATGTCTTTTGCTCAATAGGTTATCAACTCACTATTATGCGACCATGGGCATTATTTCCCACCCTTAAAAATCATTGACACAGAAAATAATAACAGAATTACCCCCCTTGTTTTCCTATTGCCTCCATGCATTAGCTACCTTTAAACGTTGGAATTTGAAGTTGAAAATGATATTTTTGCCAATTTCTCAGCTGGCAATAGTGACTTATAGGATTAATAAGATTATTCTTTAACAAGGCAGGACGGTTTATGGATACCATCTATTTTAAGGCTTTATTTTAATAAATTTTAAAAATATGAAATTGCAGCTTTAAGTGATATGAGTCAGGCAAATTGTCATCGCACCGTTGTTGTAATTGACATCAAAACTTTGACAACTTTTTGATGTGATCTTTGATTTGTTACGACATATCGGCAGTTGAAATTTCACACCGCTGAAATTGATCCGATGTTTTTCTTTATCTATTTTACTTGACCAAAGAATCAATATTGTCGTCAAACATCTCTACAGTGTCATTAATTTGTATATTGTCACCCGTCTGTCTGTCTGTCCGTCCGTCAAACATTTTGGGACACAATAACAATGAGATAGAACGTTCAAACTTGGTGTAGGTGTTTATGGAGTGAATACCTTGATAGGCTATAGCTAAGCAGCGATAAGCAATTTGATTGGTTGGTGCTTTGGGACACGATTACTTTCGTTCTAATAAAGTGAAGGAGATAGAACTTGGTGTATAGTTTCATTATATCAATACCTTGACTATGTGCGATAATGTGCATTTTCGACTCTGGGTAAGCAGAGCGATAAGCAATTTGATTGGTCGAGACTTTGGGGCTCGATTACTTTGATTCTAATTAAATGAGAGAGGTGAAAATTCGTGCATAGTTTCATCACTCCATACCTTGACTAGGTTCGACGGTGAGCATTTTCTGCTTAGGCTTAGTATATACTTCAATCCGATTGGTCGAGACTTTGGAACAAAATAGCCCTCGTTCTAATTGAGGTAGAATGTTCAAATTTGATTTTGGTGTTTATTGGGTGAATTCATTGACAGTGTTCGATCAGAGTATAAAATATCAATACCTTGACTAAGTTCGATGATGATAATTTTTTTTCTGCTTAGGCTAAGCTGTGATAAGCAAATTGATTGATGTATACAGGTCGCAATTCTATGGAATACAATTACTACTGCTTATTACTGAGCGTATTCCATAGAATTGCGACCTGTATACTCCAGTTCAATTACTGAATGCCATTGAAACAATTGATTGCTCTAAACTTTGGAACATGAAAAAATCTGCCTCAACAAGATAACTTAGATTCTAACAGATGTAGAGTGATGACACCTAGTGCATAGTTTCACTACCAGGTACTCCAAAACCTTGACTGAGTTCGATCGTGAACATTTCGATTGCTCGACACTTTTTAAAAAGAAAAATGTGCAATTAAACATACATTATGCAAGAGCTAAATCTGCCTATTGCAGGTCTTTCTGTAGGCCTGAAATTTTATCTAAATTGTTAATTAGACATTAATTAACTTATCCAGACCATAATCAACTCTCGATATCATCGTTAGCCAGCTATGTTTATTGGATTAGGTTCAGATTTGATGTTCGACTTCCATTCATGATTTAATCATGAAATGAATAATAGAGACTATGTTTTTTAGTAATGATGATCGAGGCTAGTCCGAAAATTCAATCGCTAAAATCTCGGTTCAGAATGGATCAAATTTGACTGAAATTTTCAGCAAATTGCCTTTACATTATCTATTTTTTTAACTATTTTAGTGAGAACTGCCAGCTTTTTATCTAATCTCCCATAATGTATCTTTAATTAGTATGTGTCATCTATTTTTTTAGGATATTGGCGGTGGACATCAATCTCAGTGCTGCTTTGTTTTTCTATAAATTGAAATGATTACACAGCATGTCAATACAATTGACACTTTGACAACATTTTGATATGATCTTTGGCGTATATTATGACATGTTTCACAAGGCTAAAATTGATCCGATATTTTTTGGTTTGATCTTGAAGAACGAACCATTAACAGTAATTTAATGTCACACATTTGTTTATTTTTATGAAAGCCGCGGTGGCTCAGTTGTACGACGTTGGCTCGTATAACGTGTTCGATCCCTCATATGACCGAGAGAGTTCATCGGGATTTTCCGGCATGGTTCCTCCTTATGAGTGGCGCAGTGCCAAGGGCCTGGCAAGGTACATCGTATAGTCGTTCGGGTTTGACGAAAATCCGAGGTCCCGTGCACACTGTGACATGTACGTTAAAGATCCCTTGGCAGCTAGAATTCGATACAAGAGTAGGCTATAGCGCCGCTATCCGGGCACATTTTACTTCATAGCACACTGTATGGCGTATGCCTGTCTTCGTTAGCCCTGACGGACAGAACAGTAGGACGTTAAACGCCATTTGATTTAGTTCCACAAAATAAAATTACTATACAAAATTTTAAACAACCTGACCCCTCTCTATCTTAAGAATCTCATAAATCTGGAACCAACAAATACATATTCATTTCGAAACGAAGATAAAATTAAAGAAATTCGATGTCGTACTGAAATATTTTCTAAATCATTTATTCCATCCAGCATAAGAGAGCAGAATAAACTCAGCCTCCCTGCTAGAAACTCAAGAACTCTTAAAATATTCTCCGACCATCTCTCCAAATCAGATATAAAAAATCCATCTTTTTACTACAACGGTCAGCGGAAACTCCAGATAATCCATTGTAAACTTAGCCTCCAATGTTCTGACCTACAGAGTCACAAATACCCCAGACATGTAGCTGACAGCCAAGCATGCCTCTGTGGTCACATTTTTGAAGATCCTCATCACTGCCTCTTGCAATGCTCCTTACATTCAAATGCACGAAAGGAAACCATAGACAAATTACAACACGATCATAAAAACATGAAATATCTCATCTTGTTCGGGTCCACAAAACACTGTACAGATGTAAACAACAATTTTTTTAATTCAAGTCCACAAGTTTATTGACATGTCATGAAACAGATTTTAATCTTGCTTGTTAATTGTTTTAATGTACAATATTAGTTTTAAATTTACGTGATGATGTAACCTATAATATATATTGTACATTGCCATCCGTCTCATGATATATGTATTTACATATATTTCTGTATGTGTTTGCCATTTTAACTGTGTATATACACCCATTTTGTTCCTTTGTTTTAATATTATGTATGTATATTATCTAGAGAAAGGGGTTTTACATAGGCTAAGCCTGTTCCCCAATCCCATTCAGACAAACTGAATAAAATATTGTTTATAAAAAAAACAATTGATATGATTAGTTGTAATCGACTACACATTAACCTCGTGTCAATATCTGACCTCAAATCATACTAGCTGAAACTGACACTACAAACATCCCCGTACCTGTCATTCAAAACTTGAGTTGGAGAATAAACAACCGGATCTCCGAGACTATTTTTATGTTTTCCATCAACATAACACTGAAACATGATTTGATGTATTAAGTTCCGTTTTAGCGACAGCCAAGGAAATCAATCATGGGTGTTGTTGGGGGTTTTTTTATTTTTATATAGTTTTGAAGTCTTTCATCAACCCCGTCACGTTTTCTAAAGGGCATTATCCTTTGCTGCATTTATGGCTGTTATGCATGTGAAACGGTATGCTTAGTCGGGGGGGGGGGGGATACGAAGCGCATCTTCGAAATCTATTCGTATCTGGTCATGGAAGACTTGAATTGCACCCTCGTTATCCTCCGAACGAGGGGGGGGGGTGTCTAGTGTTCTAACGCGTGCGCATGAAATCACAATGGCTGTCATTGAGCCTCAAGTGGCGTGGTTTCGATTCCCTGATTGTAATTGACAAGGAGTAGGATCGCCTGTATAACCTCGTGGGTTTTCTCCAGGTCCTCCAGTTTCCTCCCAGTGCTAAAGATTTCTACACGCAAGCGAATTATTGAATTAAATTGACCCATATGTTAGTCCCGAAATGACCTAGTTTGTGTTGAGTGGACTTTAAATCCAATTTCTCTCTCTCCACAAGTATCTAGACAGGGGCGTAGGGAAGTACATCTTCGCTGGCCACGCGTCTCAAATAGTAAGTGCAGGGAGACTGCACAACACACAATTACACACAACTATACAACGAACGAAACACAATACGCAGAAATCACAAACAAACGTACATGTCAGATCAAGTGAATGGATCCAGGGGCTAGCCGTAATCGTCCGCTGCGCTGTACAGTCCCGGGTCTGTAGTGATTCAGACTTTACTCAAAATTGATAGAGAGCGAGAGAGAGAAATGGGGTTTAACGTCTACTCGACACAAACTAGATCATTTCGGGACTTACACATGGTTCAATTTTATTTCAATAATTAGCTTGCGCTTAGGGGTCTTTAGCAGTGGGAGGAAACCAGAGGACCCGGAGAAACCCACGAGGTTGGACAGGCGACCCTACTCCTTATCACATACAACCGGGGAATCCAAACCACGCCAGTTGACTCAGTGACAAACCTTATGATACAGCGCGCACGTGCTAACCATTCGGCCATCCAAGCCGCTAAAATTTATCGACAAACAATCGGGAATATAAAGAGCTATCATGTGTTATAATAATAAATATTGTGAGTTATCATGTGTTATATAATAAGTATCGTGAGGAACTGATAGACAAGTTGGACAACCATTTAATTAATTACATGTTTTTTCTCTGGATAACCTTATCATAATGAGCAATTAACTCAAACAGCGGCATACTTATTGGCAATAAGTCAACCGCGTCTCTAATCAACTGGCATTTAGTAGTGATTAATATCAGAGACTGGATAACCGAGTCTGGCAACATTCCGACGTAATCCAATGTATTGTACAGTAACAGCTTTCTGTATATTTAGAGTTTGTTTGTTTGACTCGTTTGTTTATTCACTCAGCTTTATTCTTTTCAACAAACTTAGCCATTTGCACAAGAATTGAATGAAAGGACTTTGTTTTCTTTAGACGTGAGGCGGGGTCGTTTTAAAATCGGGCACATGCTATTGGTATCGACCGATTACGATACAATAGAAACTAAGTGTTGCTTTAAAAAGGAATTCAGACTATGCTAAAGGGGAATAAATTTATGATGACGTATCATTAAAATTTCCGGAATAATTAGGCCCCGTGCCAAAGGCTGGACCTAGGAGATGGGGGCCAACATGTAAGTACACCCTTTACAGAACGCGGATCTGCGTCTGGCGGGGCAGACTGAACGCGGTTATGGCTGGCACTAGATATTATTTCCCGCACTTTGGGACTTTAGGGGGTCAGGAAACAAAAGTATATATAATTGCTTGTAAAAACACACAATTGACTGTTTCAATACGAAAATAGCGCAAAATTAGTCTTGAAAATATACAAAATAGGACGACGCAGATGTTATTTCCTGTTGTCAAAAAGACTGGCGTTTTGATTTGCTGTCAAGGTCCCCCCACCCTCACCCCCTACGGACCCCCATTAGCTCACCCTTAGGTACGGGCCTTGGTATAATAATACACATTCACCTGTTTGTTACCGGATTGTTTCCGGGTTAATGCAAATTCTCAATTGTCATTTATTCGTACCAGAAACGGCCACCCCCATAATAGGCCTTCCTACTATACGGGTTACACTACTAATACCGCTATGGATCTACGACCGCTGCCACCTTGGATGATATCGCAGTCAGATCAGGTTTCACCTTTTATTCTCGGTATTAAAGAACCCGGCTGTATTATCTGACCGACACTAAATCTTTATTAGTTTTAACCTTCTAAATCCCCCACCCCACTCCCTCCAAAAAATATTGGGTCATTTGCTTAATCCCCATTCAGGTAACTTCTATCAATAACTAACATGGCGCTAGCAGAAACATCGTCAAACCGTGCGGATAATAACTTTATTTTACAAAGTCAGTCGTCCCAAAATTCGACAACCTCTTTTATTAGATATTAATTGACCGCCTGCACAATAATTAGCGTAAAGCGGTTTATTCATCGTTTATGTAAATGCCACACCGCGTATTTATACAAAATTATTTGGGTTCACAGAAAATGTCAGGGAATATGATGACTTGTATGGTATAAGCTTAATATCAAATATCATAACGGACAGCGATGTCGGATAACAGATTCAATAGATTTTTATAATGGGGTTCTTTCATCTGTGATTGAGATTTATTCAAGATTGTACCACACAAAAAAACGGATCTCTTAATGTAACGAGACGGTTTGAAACGTGAAATATCGAGTTATTGTAAATAATGAATTATTCTCTGTGTGCTATGAATTAGTTTGTTAGTCAACTCACTAAATTTTATGTGTGTGTGAAACTTGCTTGTAAGGATTTCGTTTATTGAAGTAAGTGAGGCTAATATTTTTTTCTGCGCATGACGCATGATCTTAAAATGGAATATTGCCATGGTTGTAGCAAATCGTAGGTGGTGAGAGAACGGCAACTAAGGTTCTTACAGCGGGGCGTGGAGGGTGGAGGGTGGGAGTAGACATATATCCCTTTCAAAATTTGATAAGAATTGTACTTTTTTTTTGTTAGTCATCGATTTGTATTCAAGCTGTATATTCATAGAAAACACGACGTGAGTTAGGATCTACAATGGCAGTAAGACATCTCGTATATACTAGCTGGTCATTGCTGTACCTCCATTTTGTCGGATTCGGTCATTGGATTTGACATATTACTCCAGTCACGCAAGTTTTTAGTAGTGAATTTTTGGCAATGATAATTTATATATATATATATATATTTTTTTTATAGACAAACCAAATATTTTAATTTTGTGGGTTTTTTTGTATTTTCAGATGATGAAGTTTGTATTCCAAGCATTATTGGCTGTCATTGTGATAGTGTGTTTTGTTGAGAGTTCTCCGCCTAAACATAAGATCCAAGGGGATTGCCTCAAAAGCGACTCCACATCAAAAATATGCTACGCCTGTGCCCGGTTATATGATAGTATTTATTATTACGATCAATGCTGCCTTGGTATCGTAGCCTTTCGTTCATTCTGCGAGGAAATCTACGTTCCACCAAAACGAGGAAGCAACTATTGAAGGGCTAACGGACTGACCTATGGCTTCTGGATCTGGTTTTTCAGCTAAAACAAGTACCCCCTGGACACCATGAACTTTGAACCGTGCTTATAAAAGGACACCATGAACTTTGAACTGATCTTAAAAGGACAACATGAACTTTGAACTGTGATTTTAAAAGATTGTGTTAATACAGGGTTATGAATCTACATATATATATATATATATATATATATATATATATATATAGTAACCATGGTGATGCCATAATACCATTCCAACAAAGGACAAATAGATGATAAAAACGTTACGTCAAATAACACAACAGAAGTTCAGACTTCCGTTCATGACGTACATTCCGGCGCTTGATATCCGACAAATTGTCTGCCTTGAGTCTGATTAGTTTTGGATGATTGATGTAGCATTTGGTGTAGGTGTTGATTATACTTTTGTTTTCGTTTTACTTTTTTGTATGAATACCCCTGGTGTCAATCATACGCACTGCCTGTCTGTTAACTTAATGTGTATATTGGAAAGACTTGACAATTATTCTGTGTTAGTGATAGACCAGATCAACTAAAAATGGCTTCCTAGATTCTGTTTGTGGTTTATTACAGGAGGGAGGGAGGCGTTTATAAGGGCAGGGCAAAACTAGGGCGTATGTATAAAGGGAGGGAAAGCTCTCTTATTATTGAACTCCTAGCAAGGGACAGCGTTGTGGCTTGTTATTTTGATTTTTAACGTTTTAAAATAGTGCAATTATTTGAAATCCGTGAAATCATTGTTGTTAATATGATGGTGACGATGATGATGATGAAGATGATGATGATGATTCATCATGTTATTATTTCGAGCTGTTATTTATTTGTAAATATAAATGATTAATTTATTCTTTATTTGAGAGATATATGTATTGGGATAAATAGATTAAATACTACTACCTACATTTATTACTATTATTATTAATGGAGGCGTCTGTCATTCAGTCAGGGCCTGACAAGGACAGCTGTCTAGTCCTTCGGATGAGACGAAAAACCGAGGCCCCGTGTATACATTGGAATGCACGTAAAAGATCCCCTGGCGGTTGGAATTCGATATAAGAGTAGGCCGTACGTGACAAGTGTATGGTCGACTGTCCTCCAACTCATAAAGACCTCGACTGACAAGCTAAGTATTGAAAGAAAATGGAACAGTATGTTAGTCCCGAGGTGACCTAGCTTTGTTTCAGTTTTACGTCCCATCCGGACGAATATACGTTGTCCCTTGACAGACCCTCCGACATTCCCATGAACACCGGAATCGAACACAAGACCCCCAGGTTAGCAAGCCAACGCCCATGCAAGGAATGCGATCATCCTTGCTGGCTTTCCTTGTATTCAGTCGGATCCACCCACCCCAACACCACAGCATGTTTGAAATAAAGTTATTAATCCCACTGGAAAATCCCAATGAAATTTCTCAGACCACACCGGGATTTAACACGGGACCTCCAAGCTAGCAAGGCAAATGTTCGACTCACTGAGCCACCACGCTTCCGCCCCCTTTAAGCAATAAGAGAGAGCGAGAAATGGGAGTTAACGTTCACTCGACACAGACTAGGTCATTTTGGGACTAACATATGGTTTAATTTTATTTCATTAATTCGCTTGCGCGTAGGGGTTTAACGTCCACTCGACGCAGACTAGGTCATTTCGGGACTAAAACAAGGTTTAATTTTATTTCAATAATTCGTTTGTGCGTAGGGGTCTTTAGCAGTGGGAGGAAACCGGAGGACCCGGAGAAAACCCACGAGGTTTGACAGGTAACCCTACTCTTTGTCACGTACAACCGGGGATTCGAAACCACGCCAGTTGACTCAATTACGGGCCTCGTGATACAGCGTGCACGTGCTAACCATTCGACCATCCAACCTCCCATTAAACAACAAGAACATAATATACACTAATAAGATAGAAAAAGAAATAGAAATTTATACATTATTAATATTTTAAAAAGTTGAAAATAACCATAGGCTACTTATCATCCCACCTACCAACAACGTATATATGATTACAGGAAGTAATTAATAAATAATTATATTTTAATAAACATTACAGATAGGGCTGCAACGATTCAACAATGAAGCGCGATGCACGATGCACGATACAATCAATGGCCGTATCGCGATTCGTTATCCAAATAATAATTTCACAAAAATAGACTAATATTCCTTTAAATGCGTAAATAAGTCCATGGGCAAAATAACTTTTTTACTTTCAGCGAGTGTTAAGGCGTTTTCGACACATGAAGTGGCTTATTATAGCTATTTCGTCAAGATTAAAATATCAGACTGGTTAAGCAAGTCGTGCTGCAAATTAAGTTGCGTTCAAATTACACACTTGAATAATATGCGGAAAAAAATAACATTAATATATTATTAATTATATATATATATATATATACACGCCCGTAATATGCGGTTTGTGATGTTATTACTGTATAAGAATGGCGATTTGTACATACTGCATACATTGATCAGCACATAAGGGTTAGTTTGAGGATTTCGTCATGGTCTCAAGATGTAAACTGGGCTAGCACTAACACGAATCCTAAACCTAGCTTTAAACCTTACGCTTACTCTAACACTAACCCACATTCCACATATGGCGTCATTTGTGATAGACCGTCTTCGACCTTGCGTTCTACGGAGTAAATACACTATTTACACATACTTATGGAAAAAAAAAACAAATTTGGGCAACGTTTCGAAGAGATTTTCTCAAATGTGTTAAGCAACTACAGGAACGTCTGTTCGTTCTTAATTTGTTTGTTTGAGTCAACTGGCGTGATTTCGATTCCCCGTTTGTACGTGACAAGGGATAAGGTCGCCTGTCCAAGTTCATGGGGTTTTCTCCGGGTCCCACTGCTAAAGACCCCCACGCGCAAGCGAATTACTGAAATAAAAGTAAACAATATGTTAGTCCCGAAATGACCTACTTTGTGTCAAGTGGGCGTTAAACCCAATCTCTCTGTCTCCCTGTCTCTCTCGTTTGTTTGTTCGTTGGTTTGTTCGTGGGCGGTAACCTCCGTTTTCGACAACGGTAATACCTCAGACAAATGACAGTAATACATATATTGGCTAATTATATAACAACAACGAGATCTTACACGAACCTATCCCTTTCAAGATTTTGTTTTTAGAATTATGTTGACCTAAAGATAAAACTGTACTTTTTGTTGTTAGTCAATATGTTTGGTTCCCAGGCCTAATCATCCGGTCTTTATGACTCGTCGATTTATACTCAGGCCTTACATTCTTAGAAAACTCGACGTGGATTGTGGACTGCACAAAAAATTAATAAATCTTGTTGCTGCATGGTCATTGCTGTGCCTCCATTTTGTCGGATTCGAACATTGGATTTGATTACTCCAGTCACGTAAGGTTGTAGTAGTGAATTTTCGGCATCTCGTATATACTAGCTTGTCATTGAACAAACCGTTGCTGGTGATTGCTGTACCTCCATTTTGTCGGATACGACTATTGGATTTGATACATTACTCCAGTCACGCAAGATTTTACTAGTGAATTTTCCGCAATGGTGATTTATGTACATTTTTCATATATAAACCAAATATTTTAATTTTGTGTTTTCTGTACTTTCAGATGATGAAGTTTGTATTCCAAGCATTTTTGGTTGTCATTGTGATAGTGTGTTTTGTTGAGAGTGCCCCGCGCGATGAAAAGATCAAAGGGGATTGCCACATAAGCGATTCCATATCCCGAATATGCTACGCCTGTGCTCGGTTATATGATAGTAATCAATATTACGAACAATGTTGCCTGGATATCGCACCTTTTCGTTCATTCTGCGAGAAAGTCTACGTTCAACCAGATACTGTTGAAGGGCTAACGGACTAACCAACGGCTTCTGGATTTGATTTTTCGAATTTGATTGGGGTTTTCTTTAGCTAAAAACGAGTAACCCCCTTGGACACCATGAAATTTGAACTGCGTTTTTAAAAGATTGTGTTAAAAAGGGTTTATGGATATATATATTACAGTAACCAGATAAATCATAAAAACGTTACATCAGATAACGCATCATGACGTATATTCCCGAGGGTGATTTCCGACCAGTTGTCTGCATGACTCTGATTGTGTTTGGATGAATGTCGTGGCATTTGGTGTTGGTGTTGATTATATTTTTAAAAAGGGGACAGTATTTCAATGTCCGTTTATTAACTTAATGTGTATATTGGAAAGACTTGACAATTATTCTGTGTTAGTGATAGACTAGATCAACCAAAGATGGCTTCCTAGCATGAACCCGGCAAAAGATCGTGTTACACCACCAAATATAACCCGAACTCGACAAAAGGCCTTGTGTCACACCACCAAATACAACCTGAACTCGGCAAAAGACCTTGTCACACCACCGAAAATTACAACCTAAACTCGACATTGTTAAATCACCATACAGCTTGAACTTGGCAAAAGACAGTTTGAACTCGACAAAAGATCTTTTGCGTTCGAAGCATCACTTTTTTTGCTTTCGAAGCACTAAATATGATTAGAAAAAAAATGAAATGAAATGGGGTTCACGTCATATACATATGACTAACGAACAACGTGTACACGTTGACGTACAAGCGAAACAATCCTTGACAGTTGGACATTCGATGAATATTAGGACGAAACACTGTTGTCCGGACAAAATTACTCTTATAGCACTCTGCAGATCCGCCATTAATAACCCGATTGGGTCAGAAAAGTAGGACTTCATTTTATTTTATTTGATTACCACTTTATTATATTTTTTAAAAAAAAACCACGAATGACGCAGCTGCATTGATAAACAAAGATACTGAAATATGTCTATTGTATACTAATCAATCTAACCTCTAACAATAGGGTTTGTCAACTCGGTATTAAAAGGAACTACTTTCATGACCTTAGGGATCAGGCAATACAAATTACCATCAGAGAGAGAGAGAGAGTGGGAGAGAGATTGGGTTTAACGTCTACTAGACACAAACTAAGTCATTTCGGGATTAACATATGGTTCAATTTTATTTCAATGATTCGCTTGCCTGTAGGGGTGTTGTAGTGGGAGGAAACCAGGGGACCCGGAGAAATATCACGAGGTTAGACCGGCGATCCTAATCCTTGTCACGTACAAGCGGAGAATCGAAACCACGCCACTTGACTCAATGACAGATATTATTATGCAACACGTTCCCGTTAACTATTTGGCCCGTACCAACAACGTATATACGAATTGGAGACATGATTATTAAAGAATTATTTTTTAATATGCATTACAATTAATTTGAAATGAAATATTTTAAGTTTCCAATGGCACTTCAGGGGCTTTCGTTCATCATTCATTATCATACCTCTATGTCCCGATTTTGAATGCTACGAATAGTCCCAAATCCAAACTTTTTCCGATTGGTAGAAAAATTGTAAATGATTTGTATTTGGTTCTTACACATTCGTCTTGTTCGCTGCACAGCCACGGGTTTATGTATCGTAAATCCGCCGTAGGCCTTTCTTATCGCCCGCGGTGTTGGATGGCCGAATGGTTAGCAGCACGTGCGTGCTGTATCATAAAGCCTGTCATTAAGTCAACTGGCGTGGTTTCGAATCCCCGGTTGTACGTGTCAAGGAGTAGGGTCGCCTGTCCAACCTCGTGAGTTTTCTCCGGGTCCTCCGGTTTCCCCCACTGCTAAAGACCCCTACGCGCAAGCGAATTATTGAAATAAAATTAAACCATATGTTAGTCCCGAAATTACCTAGTTTGTGTCGAGTGGACGTTTACCCTCATCTCTCTCTCTCTCTCTCGTCTATAAATGCTGGCATCACACTGTGCGAAATTAACACCAGATGGCTATATGAAAATATTCTATTTTGAATTTAGCACGAAAGTGGCCCCGAACTTCGTCAAAAAACAATCACCAGCCGAA